ACAATGGGGAATCCCACATCAGTATGATTATGCTTTTCTACAAAGTACAGAAAGTTGAGTCTAGAACGCATGGTTCTTTATAAGAAAAATTTGGAACCTAGAGTATGTCCACTGATTGTTGAAACCAGTGTTCTTTATATCAGCATCTGCTTAGTGGTAGCAAATCCTTTGGCTGCTGCAGACAAGGAGAATGAGTAGCTGCGAGGCTGGTCCATTTCTACAGCCTCTTATAGGTCCTAAGGCACTTTTATTTAATATTGACCATTGTAAAGAATAGTATGATTTGGGACTGGAGAGATAGCCATATGGTTAAGAGCAATGGTTGTTTTTCCAAAGGATCCAGTTCCATTCTTAGCATACACACATGGCAGCTCACAGCAGTCTGTAACTCCAGTTTCAGGGGGCCTAAAACTCTCTTCTGACCTCCAGGGGCACCAGGCACACATGGTACACAGACATACCTTGTAGATAAAACATCCATTCACATAAAATATTGTGTGTGTGTATGTATAAAGTATGATTTGAGCATGGTGCCACTTGCTTGAAATGGCAGCACTTTGGAGATTGAGGCAGGAGGATCACAAATTTGAGGATAGTTTATCTAAGCTACATAGAAAGTTCTAGGCCTGGACTATGTCAGAAGACTGTCCCAAACACAAAGAATACTGATGATTAGTACATTAACACAGGTAATTTGAGGACATACTTTATTTTCCTATTTTATTGAAGTGAGTCTGTATTGGGTGACAGACATGTTAACCATTGAAAAAACCCTCACTCTTGCTGACATCTGTTATTAAATGTAGGATGCTTTATAGAGCCACTCCGTGGTGTCTGTATCAGAGGAACTCAGTTTGCTAATAGCAGCAGTACAGCAGTGGTTATGCCAAAACATTCTATTCCTGTTGTTGCTCTTAAGTCGTTGACTGCCATGAGTGAAGGAGTCTCCTGATTATGAGCTTCCGTTACTATAGATATTTTAATTTTGCGAATGTGGTCATAACATCTGTTTGAGTGCTGAATGGATTTTACCCTTTTCTCTAGTGTGTTTTTCTAACTGGAAAGTTACCAGTTTAAGAAATATTATTTGGGGGCTGGAGAGATGGCTCAGTGGTTAAGAGCATTGCCTGCTCTTCCAAAGGTCCTGAGTTCAATTCCCAGCAACCACATGGTGGCTCACAACCATCTGTAATGAGATCTGGTGCCCTCTTCTGGCCTGCAGGCATACATGCAGACAATATTGTATACATAATAAATAAATAAATATTTTTTAAAAAAAGAAATATTATTTGGAACCTTTCCATCCCCACTTTCCTATTGATGTTCTGAAATCCTACCTGTTAGCCAAGCTGAGTTCAGCACATCTTACCACATTGGTCCCCACCTCCTTTGGGCTGTTCAAGCTTGATACCACACACAATTTAGCATATACTGCTCTGTGCTATTGCTCACCTATGTGTTATTAGCTACTAGTGGGATCATTCTCTCTTTTTATCTGCTGTGAGATCCAAACAGTATTAATAATTGAAACAATTGTATTTATGTGTGTGTGTCCCAATATGTGCATGCCACAGTGGGTGTGAGAGGGCAACTTTTGAGAGTTGACTTTCTTCACCATGGCACCCAAGGATGGAACTCAAGTTGTTAGGTTTGTATGACAAATGCTTTTTCCATCTCCCTGACCCTGAAATGTAGTATTTTGGTCCATGTATGTTGGGAGAAGGCAGTTAGTTTATTCCTGGCTGCTCAGCCCTGAAATAATCACACAGAAACTGTATTATTTGCAATACTGTTTGGCCAATAGCTAACTAGTTCTTTATACCTAGAATTAACCCGTTTTCATTTATTTATTTGTTTGTTTTTTGAGACAGGGTTTCCCTGTGGCTTTGGAGCCTGTCCTGGAACTAGCTCTTGTAGACCAGGCTGGCCTCGAACTCACAGAGATCCGCCTGCCTCTGCTTCCTGTGTGCTGGGATTAAAGGCACGCACCACCACTGCCTGGCTCCATTTCCATTATTTTATATTTTACCACAAGGCTCATGGCTTACCGGCAAGGTTCCAGCTAACAGCTTTCCCCTCTGGCAGCTACATGGTGCCTCACTGACTCTGCCTTCTTTCTCCCAGCATTCAGTTTAGTTTTCCTGCATAGCTCTATTCTGCTAAGCCACTGGCCGAAACAGATTCATTCATTAACCAATAAAAGCAACACATAGACAGAAGGACTTTCCACACCACGTGTACATGTTACATTGTTAATTATTGACTGTGAAATATGTCAAATATGTCAAAATATTATCCCTTACAATTTTCCTACTTTCCATAACTTTTCATTTGACTTGGCATAAAGATAAGGATGATAATGGCGATGTAATCTTAAAGTTTAGCATAATCTTTGGGTGAACCATGTTATGACTGTGTATAGATGCCTCATCCAGCAATGTTTGCATCATCAGGAGCAGCACTGTCTTCAGCTCACACTGGCACCTCTGAGGTGGGAACTTCCTAGCTTCTAACAGCATCTGTGATTATGGTAAAAAGCTTTTGAAGTTATGAAGAGCAAGCTGGATTTGGTTCTAAATCTTCAACTATATTTTCAGCGAATCAACTGAATTTCAGTTTTGTCTGTCTGTCTGCCTGCTTGTTCTTTGGTGCATGTAGGGGAGATAGGAGAGAAATGTGTGGGAACTGTCTCTTTCCTTCTACTATGTGGCTTCTGGGGATTGGACTGAGGTCATCAAGCTTGGGGTAAAGTGTCTACCCATTGAACCATCTCACCTTTCAATCTTGTCTGAGACAGGGCCTCCCATCAAAGCTGGAATTCAGTGGTGCAACTAGTATGGCCAGTTAGTAACCTAACCTCTTGGCAAATAAAACTGGCATTCTCAAAAACAAACAAACAAAAAACCCAACAACAAACAAATAAAAAACTCTTCTGGTGTAGGAGTTCCTTCTGTTTGTGTGTTGCTTTCATTGTTTGTGTGTTGATGAATAAAGAAACTGCCTTGGCCTAGTTGATAGGACAGAACTTAAGTAAGGCAGGGAAGACAGAACTGAAGGCTGGGAGGAAGAAAGCAGAGTCAGGAGAGCCGCCAGAGTCAGACATGCCGAATCTTTCCCGGTAAGACACTGCCACGTGGCGATATACAGATTAATAGAAATGGGTTAAATCAAGATGTAAGAGTTAGTCAATAAGAGGCTAGAGATAATGGGCCAAGCAGTGATTTAACACAATTTCTGTGTGATTATTTTGGGGCTAAGGTGGCCGGGAAGAACAAGCGGGCTCTCTCCTTATTACACTCTTTCTGCTCCCCTCTTTAAACTTCAGAATTTAAGGGACATAAACCCATATTATTTTTGTCCAGCAGACTACTGGTACTCAGTGATGTGCGGTGTGTTGGGGGGGGGGGATTTGCTGTCGTGTGACTCAGTTCTGTTGTAAAGTGATGCGAGGTCAGCATACAGGTGCTCCGAGTGTGTAATAGTCTGAATGTAATCAGCATACAGGTGCTCCTAGTGTGTAATAGTCTGAATGTAATCGGCCCCCCCCATAAGTTCATGGGGAGTGTCACTATTAGGAGGTGTGGCCTTGTTGGAGGAAGTTGTATCACTGTGGGGGTGGGCTTTGAGGTAAAGTCTCATAATATGCTCAAGGCATGCCCAGTGTCTCAGTTCACTTCCCGTTGCCTTTGGATCAAGATGTAGAATTTTCAGCACCTTCTGCAACACCATGTCTGCCTGCACACTGCCATGCTCCCTGCCAGGATGACTGAACCTCTGAAACTGACACCTCAATGAAATGTTTCCGGTCATGGTATCTTTTCACAGAAATGGAAACTCTTAAGTTCTGGGCGAAGTATCTAGAAACCTCATGCTCACTGGAATGCCCCATGGAAGGTAAAGAAGCCCAGTTAAACAGCCCATCTTCGAGGTCTAGGTCTGTTGCGTTGACTTGAGATTGTGAGTTTTCCCAAAGACCCCTGACTTTGGGGAAATGAAGAGCTCTGACACTGGTGAGGATGAGCGCTTGTCTTTGTAAATAGCTTCATGAAAATCACATTCCTTGAGTTAATGCATTTACGTGGGAAATGCTTTAGGCCAAATGAAAACAAAACAAAATTCAGAGCATTAAAAACTGCCTCTGTGTCCTCGGGGGTTATGAGTGCTTGGTGGAGGAAGTGAAAAGGAAGCACTGTGTGAATTGGTGCAGGCATGCAGTACCAAGGAGAGGCACCTGGCACCTGTGTCAGGGCAGAGCTAGCAAGCCTCTAAGGCATGGCACTGATGCTTCCCTGAACCATACGAAGGTTGACACTGAAATCTCCTTAAAACTTACAGAGACCGTGGGAATGCTGCTGCACAGATTTGCTAATTGTGCTTTTAGGAGATTTGGACAGGAGATAAATTGTTTACTCTTGTATGAGAATAATGGAAATGGAAATGACCTTCTATAGCCTCTGATTCAGTTGTTCTGAAGCCGATCTGGACTCACTGTCAGTGTTGTACCGGGACTGGAAGATGTATCTGAAGTTGATATGAAAAATTGCCTCACCCAGTGGGTCTTTTTCTTGGACTTTTTTCTTTGTTGAGTTTAGGGTAGAGTGATGTCAATGTAGCTCAGTAAATTAGAGAAAGGAATCAGTTGTGTGCATGTAGAAATGAAAACAGGAACAAAACTCTTTAGGAACTTAGGGGACTGGTGAGGGAGTGAGAATGGGAGTCGCAGGGGAAGCAGTAAGCTCAGTACATCATGTGCCTTACACCTTATAATTCTAACATTTGGAAAGCTGAGGAAGGAGGATAACTGTGAGTTCAAAGAGAGTCTGGGCTACAGGATGTCTTGGCATTTGACCTCTGTCGAATTAAGGTGGTCTCATCTAGTGTGAGGACGTGCTGGAGCAATTTCATGCTGTGTAGGAAGTAATCCACAAGCCACTTGGGTGCTCAGTTGCTTCTGTGCTTCTGAAAGTTGTTCCCTAATACTTATTTCTTACCCACTACAGCTTCGAGTGGGATGTCATGGCCAGCTCTTCAGACAGTGAGGATGACAGTTTCATGGCTGTGGACCAAGAAGAAACTGTACTGGAAGGAACAATGGAGCAAGATGAGGAATCCCACCCAGTGTTGGAAGTTGAAGAGACAAGACATAATAGGTCCATGTCTGAGCTGCCAGAAGAAGTTTTGGAGTATATCCTGTCCTTCCTTTCACCGTATCAGGAGCATAAAACTGCAGCTCTGGTCTGCAAACAGTGGTATCGGCTTATCAAAGGTACTATGGGAAAGACAGGTTCTTTCAGGTGTATGTGTGTGTGTGTGTGTCTGTGTATATACTACATGTGTGCAAGTATCCCTGGAGGCCAGAAGAGGGCATCAGATGCCTTGGATCTTGAGTTATAGAAGGCTTTGAGCCACCTAATGTGGGAGCTGGGTTTGAACTCAGTCCACTGGAAGAGCCGCAAGAGTTCCTAACTGCAAAGCCCTGGTTATGTCAGCTATTATTGAGTAACTTAGTTTTTTTTATTATTACTATTATTATTTTTTTTTTCGAGATAGGGTTTCTTTGTAGTTTTGGAGAATGTCCGGGAACCAGTTCTTGTAGACCAGGCTGGCCTCAAACTCACAGAGATCCGCCTGTCTCTGCCTCCTGAGTTCTGGGATTAAAGGCGTGCGCCACCACTGCCTGGGTTTGACTCCCCCTTTTTAAATTTATTTTTATTAATTGAAAACTTATACAATATATTCTAATCACGATTTCCCCTCTAGCATTTCCTCCCAGAGTCTCCCTACTTTTCCACTCTTCCAACACTACTCCTTTTTTTTTTCTTTTTTTCCAACTTTTCTTCTTTTCTTTTCTTTTCTTTTCTTTTCTCTCTTTCTGGTTTTTTTGAGACACAGTTTCTATGTGTAGTTTTGGAGCCTGTCCTGGAATTTGCTCTGTAGACCAGGCTGGCCTTGAACTCACAGAGATCTGCCTCCCAAGTGCTAGGATTAAAAGCATATATCACCACTGCCAGGCCCAACATAATATTTTTATTTATTATTTGGGAATTTTACATCATACACTCTGATCATACTCACTTCGCAGTCCTCCAGAGTCTGCCCTCTGCCTTTGTGACCTCCCCCGCCCCCAGAAGAAGAAGCAAACAAAAGGAAAACATGTCCAGTGTGTGTTGCCCATATACTCAATGGAGCATGGTTAGACTCCCAGTGGCTAGCCCCTTAAAGAAAATTGAGTCTGGGCTGGAGAGGTGGCCCAGCAGTTTAGAGAACTGGCTACTCATCCAGAGGTCCTGAGTTCAAGTCCCAGCACCCACATGGTGACTCACAACCATCTGTAATGAGATCTGGTGCCCTCTTCTGACCTGCAGGCAGAACACAGTATACATCATAAATAAATAAAATCTTTTAAGAAAAAAGAAAAATTTTAAAAAAAGAAAAGAAAACTGAGTTCTTTTCCACTTGGCACCCCCACGAGAAGCCATCAGTTGTGGAGAGCTACACTTCAGCATCCTTATCACAGTATTTTTTTTTTTTTAAGATTTATTTATCTATTATGTACACACTGTTCTGCCTGTAAACTAGAAGAGGGCACCAGATCTCACCACCGGTGGCTGTGAACCACTATGTTGATGCCAGGAACTGAACTCAGGACTCCTGGGAGAGCAGCCAGCTCTCCCAACCCTTGAGCCATCTCTCCAGCCCCCCTTATCACAATTTTTTTAAAAGAGATCCCTTTGATCACTGTGTTGACATCTGTGGTCTGTATGGCCACTGGAGTCCATGCTGAGGCCAGAGATTGTGTGGATGTCCGTGGTCCTTACTGTTGCTGGAAACCATGTAGAAGTTGATGATTGTGCTCTTGCTGACTGTAAAGGCAGGGAAGCTACCTTTGTGGTAGTCTCAATGACTGCAGACTCACAGTTGAGAAAGAGGAACATAAAAGTCTCCAGTGCAACCACTATCCCATCCCCCAAAAAAGTAACAGCCTGGGCAGAAAGCTACTGAAGAAAACTCTTAGGCTCTCTTTTTCTTTTCTCCCTTAAAGACATGGTTGTAAAAATTAGTATTAGATAAGTTAACACATTTTTCTTATCTTGGTTAATTTTATAAACAGCTAGAATATTAATATAAAATAGAATACAGTTGTTTAATAATAGTAATAGTAGTATTTAATTCATTTGCAGTTTCAAAATAATAGTTGTTTTGTTTTGTTTTTGAAGATTGATTTATTTGGCCGGGCAGGGCAGTGGTGGCGTATGCCTTTAATCCCAGCACTCGGGAGGCAGAGGCAGAGGCAGAGGCAGGCGGATCTCTGTGAGTTTGAGACCAGCCTGGTCTACAAGAGCTAGTTCCAGGACAGGCTCCAAAGCCACAGAGAAACCCTGTCTGAAAAACCAAAATAAACAAACAAACAAATAAATAAATAGAAGGAAAGATTGATTTATTTGGCTAGGCGGTGCTGGCGCACTCCTGTAATCCCAGCATCTCTAGGAGGCAGAGGCAGGTGAATCTCTGAGTTTGAGGCCAGCCTGATTTGCAAAGCGAGTTTCAGGACAGCAGAGCTGTTATATAAAGAAACCCTATCTGGAAAAATCAGTGTTTTTGTCTGCATGTATTGTCTGTGCTCAATGTACAATACCTGGTGCCTGTGGAGATCAGAAGAGGGCGTCATATCTCTAGCACTGGAGTTAGAGACAGCTGTGGGCCTGGTGTGTTGGCTGTATCTGTGTGTTGTATGTACTTGTTAGTGTGGGTGTATGCATGTGTGTACAAGGATGTGGAGCTGGAGGTAGACTTCCAGTATCTTTCCTCGTGTGCTCTTGACCTTCCATTTTTTTAAATTATTTTTTTATGAAGCAGAAGTGGGGGATAATTGGATCTCTGTGAGTTCGAGGTCAGCCAGGGCTACACAGTGAGACTCTGTTTTCATAAGGAAAAAAGAAAGACCCTTTCTCAAAAATATAAAGGTGTGGCTACAATGCTCCCTTGAGCCTGGGCCCACACTTGGGTGTACCTGTGCTCTCAGTGTCCCTGAGTACACTCTCGAGGTCGCTTATGATTGTGTGTCTGTCAGAGTGTAGGCCAGTGTGTGGGTGTCTTCAGAGTTCAGGGGTGTCAACTTTCCCCAGAGCTCCGTGCTCACTACACAATACATTTTTTTCCTTTTGGTTTTTCAAGTTAGGTTTCTTCTGTGTAGCCCTGGCTGTCCTAGAACTCATTCTCTAGACCAGGCTGGCCTCAAACTCTACCTCTGCCTTCTGCGTGCTGAGAGTAAAGGTGTGTGCCACCACTACCTGGCAACCATCTGCTTCTAAAGCACAGTGTTTGCTGATCTTGCAGAGGACCAAGTAGGATTTCATCACCCTCTTGATGGTTCACAATCATGTGACGCTCCAGTTCCACAGCATCTGGCCAGTCTCTGGCTTTGCCAAGCACCACATGCACACAAAAAACCAAAAACAAACAAAATAGGACTTTAATGAAATTAGTTATTAGAATGATGCATTAAAAACTAGATTGTTCCACAAGCATGAAGCTTTTACTTTTTAAAATCCACTGCATAAACACATATACTTTTTGACACAAGGTTTCTTTGTTTATGGTTCAGGCTAGACTTGACCTTATCATCCTACATCTCAGCTTGGCCTAATGCTCTACTTTAAAAGGAATTTTAGGTTCATTGTCACTAGTGGAAGGCATAGAATTTGCTTTCTGCCTATTCCCCTGTTCACTGATAGCCTCCATTCTTGTCAACACTGCCCACAGCAGTGGTACCTTGTTGCAGCTGAAGAATCTGTATTGGAAGATCACCACCACCCAGAGACCATCATTTATTTCAGAGTTCAATCTGGTGGTGTCCATATTATAAATTTAGACAAGTATATAATGTCATATATACCTTTGGAGTAAAGCTCTCAACCTGTTTAGGGTCTCACCATGTAATGTGGCTGGCCTCTAACTCACAGTGATTCACCTGCCTCTGCCCTTCTAAATGCTGAACTAAAGGTATAGTACCACTATGCCTGGAAAACTCATAACTTTAAAAAGTTATTTATTAATTTTATATGTGTGTGTGTGTGTGTGTAACGGGTGTATGTATGTGCACCATGTGTGTGCAGGTGCCTTTGGAGGCCAGCAGAGGGCATTGGATCCTCTGCAACTGGAGTTACAGGCAGTTTTGAGCCACCCAGCATGTTGGAAAGTGAGCCTGGGTCTTCTGCAAGGACAGTAAGTGCTCTTAACCGCTGCACCAACTCTCCAACCCTAAACTCCTAATTTTTAACTATATATTTTTATTTCATGTGTATGGTCATTTTGCCTGCATATATGTCTGTGTAACACAGGTACGCCTGCTGTCCACTGAGGCCAGAAGCATATGTTGGAGCTGAGTCTTCATGTAGGTGCTCAGATGTGAACGTGGGTCCTCTAGAAGAGCAACTAAGTGCTCTTAACCACTAAGCCATCACTCCAGCCCACCCAAGCTCTTACCTTTTAAGACACAGTCCTCAGACACACACTCAACATTTCGTAATCTATTATATAATAATCTCCTTCTACGTTCTTGCTTAAGCTGGAGGATTCCTGCTCTAACGGCAGAGCTTTTTAAGCAGCGGTTACATTACAGATACTGCTTCATCGCATTCCTTCACAAAGATAAATTACTCCCACCCCTTTGCTTTGTAGTAAATGCTACCAATTATCTTTATTGCTACGGGATATAACTGAGAGTGGACAAGGGTTATCATATGAGCTGATTTAGTAACTTTGCACACACTCTGAATGTCCTGTACCTTGGTAAAATGTAGTTCTTTCAATTTTGACATTCCTTGATTCCATTTTTCTTTGAATGAAAATGAGAGAATTTGGACTTCCTCAAAACATTTATGGCCTATACAAGTGATAAAGTAGTTAAAAGACACAATTTTAATGATCCCTCTACACACACACACACACACACACACACACACACACACATTAGGTATCCGAGCTGATGCCTTTGACTTTGTTCATCTTTAGGTGTAGCCCACCAGTGTTACCATGGTTTTATGAAGGCTGTCCAGGAAGGAAACATTCAGTGGGAGAGCAGGACTTACCCTTATCCTGGAACCCCCATCACGCAGCGCTTCTCCCACAGTGAGTATCCACATTGGGAAAGCAGGTCCCACACTGCCCATGATTGTGTTTCTAGACACTGTTTTGCAGGCGTGCATTTTGGCATTTTAATTAAGAGAATGTAAAATGAAAGTTTCTAACAGAGTTAGGAAAAAGTGAGTCTAAACATATTGTGAAGGCTGACGTGTAACTAACTCAGTGGCAGAGTGCTTGCCCACCTAAGCCCAGGGTTCAATCCCTGACACCTCAACAAATGAATTGCTGGGGCTTATTAATTTTATATTGTTCTTCATTAGATTTTCCACCAACCCCAGCCTCCTGAAGGAGAGGATTTCAGGCATGTGCCTCCATACCTGGTTATATTTTGAGCTTTTGGTGGGAAGGAGCATGTAGTTATTACCTGTGTCATAAAAAAAGTGATTCCAAAACTGAGCAGCTTAAAACAGTATTTCTTAACCTGTTCTTGAAGGTGTGGGACTTGGAGATGGTGTACTGAGTTCTGGTTTAGGAATGTTTTGTAGAGTGTCCATCATTGCTATCCAGAGATTCCCTGTCCTGAAACTTTACTTGGGACTGGGCTACCTCTTCAAAGGAGGCCTCAGTGTCTTATTGCATGGACCTCTAGCTAGAGCCAGGCACAGTCAGCTGCGTACTGTAGAGCAGGTACCCAAGATGGAAGGAAGCCAGGCTATCTCTTCACCATCTGAAGTGAGTACATCTCTTCCTTTCTATTCCGTTGGCCACACAAGGACGGTAGGGGTTGTAAACACCAGGAGGTGAAGATCCTTCAGTGCTACCTACCTCAGATTGCTATACTTATGTCTGGTGAGGTTCAGAAATAGTTATGATTCATTTATTGCTTTGAGGCTAGATGAAAACAGACCAGGAAGGCAGGTAAAGTGTTGTGTGCCACTCTCAAAAAGCTGGTTTTATACTTGTGCTCCTCGAAGAATGTTCGAAGAAGGACATCTTTGAGACCTGTGGGACTCACTGAAGTCAAAAATGTGAGTGTGTGACCATGGAAGACCCTGGGTTACAAAAGTAGTTGAGGACAGGTGAGTTGGCTCAGTGGGTAAAGGAGCCCACTGTCAAGCTGTTACATGCGTCCCATCTCTAGGACCCACATGGTGGAGGAGAACCGGCTCCTGCTGGTTATCCTTTAACTGTGAGTTGTCCTCTTACCTCCACATTCACGCTGTGGCACGGGTCCCTTCCCCAAGTGAACAATCAATAAATATAATGGGAGAATAGAGAATAGTGTAGTGGTACTGCCTTGATCCATGCTGAAACAGCAATCTACCCCAGTGCTCCTGAGGTGTTTGTGCCACTGCCAACACAGAGAGAAGTGGCGTGCATGCCTATCAGGACAGCAGGGACAGGAGAGTTTCAAGACTACCTGAACTGTTTAGCAGAACCCTGTCTTAGAAGCAGAAAGCGAGTGCTATCATCATTTCTGCTGTTATTGAAAGAGTTTTGAAATGTTCTCAACTGTTTATGGAGTTTGCAGATCATGATTCAGAATGGGTAGACTGGATGATATTCTGTCAGGGTCCATATTTGTTTCAGTGTGTGTTACTGCTACAGATAGAGGAAGAGGTGTTGACAGGGCTTCTGAAGACTGTTGCTCTGGATTTTGCAAGGCTGGGGATTGATGTCAGGGCTTCTTGCTGAGGGCAAGCTCTTTCTCACTGAGCTCTGCCCCAGCCCTGAGACTGCCCCACAGTGAGGGAGGAGTGAGTCTGGATGCGTCAGTCAGCTGGGCCACCACAGCAGCGCACTGGAGGCCTCGGCTTCTGAAGGGGAGGCTTCCCTTCCCCACACTGCTGGACCTTGCAGCCCCCAGAGATTAGAGGCCCTGTTACTAAGAGCCTCTGGCAAGGGTGGCTCATCATGCTGCTTGAAATCCAGGAAAGAGCCACAGGGTAATTTTGCAAAAAAGAAAGAAAGAAAGAAAGAAAGAAAGAAAGAAAGAAAGAAAGAAAGAAAGAAAGAAAGAAAGAAAAGAAAAAAAATCCTATTTCGTTTTTCTTCTGGTCTGTTTTTTCCATGTGTCCTGTACACTGCCCAGCTAACTGACAACTGAAAAGGACCATTACAGAGAAAAGGGCAACTTGCAAAATAGATTAAAAACTAAGAATTCCAGGATTGGTGAGAAGGCTCAACAGGTAAAAGTACTTGCAACCAAGCCTGACAGCCTGGGTTTGATCCCTAGGACCCAGATTGTAGATGAAGAGAACTAATTCCCAAAAATTGTTTTCTCACCTCCACACATGCACCTTGGCATACATGTTCTTATTTAAGGCCACAGAGTAAATAAATAAGGAAGGAAATAAAGAAAGAACTTTTTTTTTTTGGAGACAGGAAATTTCTCTGTGTAGCCTTTACTATCCTGGAACTCACTCTGAAGACCAGGCTGGCCTTGGACACACAGATATCTGCCTTCTTCTGCCTCCCAAGTGCTGGGATGTGCCACCACCACCTGGCTAATAAATGTAATTTTAAAATTAAAAGAACATTAAGGGTTTAATTTCCCTCCTTGGCACCTTCCTTTTTCTATTGTGTATCTATTCTTGATCCCTCAGTTTTCTTTCATATCCCTAATTCATGTGGATTCAAGATCTACATTTTTGATTCTTTACTTGTTACCATGGAAATACTAGATGTTTCATATTCAGTTAGCTAAAAGTAGAGCTCAGTGGCCCCCTATTTCCAATTTTCTACCTTCCTTAATTTAGCAAATGTCACCATCATCTTAAATGAGGTATTGCACTCACCCTCAGTTCCCGCCCTCAAGATCCAAGCTGGCTGTGGTGGTACATGCTTGTAGTCCCAGCTTTTGGTGGTGGAGCCAGGAGGATCAGGGGTTCAAGGCCCAGCCCTGGCTATTTAGTGAGTTTGGGGTTTGCCTGGGCTACCTGAGATTCTGTGTAAAACAAGAAAACAAAAAGCCAAGTTTCTGTTCTGTCTCAAACCTTTTCTTTTTTCCTGTCACTCTTAATCCATAATCTGATACTACATCTCAGTGCCATCACAATATAGCCCTCGTTTTTCCTCTTGTGCTGGAGGTTAAAGCCCAAGCGTCAAGCAAAGCAAACATGAACTGAGTACTCCCTGCCCCCTGTGCATTTCTAAGGGTCTTCTTTCCTTCTCTCCATCGCAAGCTGGGTGCAACTAAGCTAGACCCTGCTCCTTACAGAAACAGAAAAGGCCATGCTGTTCACGCACCACCCTGAGCCCTCCGCTGGGGAGACTGCACCGTCCCTCTGCCCTTCTGACACTTGCACTTTCCTCTTTACGTTGTCTCCACCAGTGAAGCTCTGTCAGCAGCAAAGCCAAGTTCCCTGGGTTTCTTACTCAGTTTGCTTGTAAGATGTACATAGCAAATACTATTGATGCTATAGGTTGCTGAAAAATTAGTCGAGATCACTTGTCAAAACATTGTTTAGGCTGTTGAATGTGAGTATGCTGTCTCTTCTACAGGTGGTTGTGTACTTGAGGAGAGTGACATTGGAGACACCCTTGTACTCCTTTACATCTAGTTCATAGCTAGCTCTAGAATTATGCCTTTGGAATGAGAAATCACTCCATGCACATAGAGAAAAATAAAGGAAAAGCTCTTTAGTATAATGAATGGCAGACTCTGGCTAATGCCCAAAGAAGAACCAGCCCTGAATAGATTTCTCTAGCTTACACACACCTGAGGCTTATGCTTCTCACTTACACTGTCATCTGTAAACCTCTCTCCAGCCCCATGCTACACTTTGAATAATTTAAATAGAGTTAGGAGACTGCAAGTCTGGTCACTTAGGCAAATGGGAGATCTACATAGCAAAGGTATTGCCAGAATTATTTTTTAGTATACCAGTGTTATTATTTTTCAAATAGTTGTTACCCAGGGTCATCTTGCTCACCTGGCAGAATTATGCTTTTTTTAAAAAAGAGAACTGGGGGGGGGGGCTATATGGCAGGCCAGGGCTTAACATTGGTTATGAACCTGTGTTGCCCCCTTGAACTCATATGGTGAAGGACCTAATGGCCGATTGTAAGTCAGGGTTGCCTCCTTTGTTGTAAGAGTGAGCCTAATGGCTGGTTAATACATCCTGACTCCAAAGTTGTGCTTTCAGGTATTTAGGAGGCGGCTCTGTTTTATGTATCCTGATGTCTCCTAAGCAAATCTACTAGCAGAACCTTTGTAACATCAGTTCTTTTGGAGTATCATACATTAGTATGAAGACATTTTAATACTTGTTGAGATGTGTAGGCTTAATCACAACAAATATGGGCCAGTGAGATGGCTTAGCCGGGAAAGGCACCTACCACTAGGACAGAAGACCTCAGCTCAGTTCCCAGGACCCACATAGAAGAGAGAACCAACTCCTGCAAGTTCTCTGGCTCCTACACATCTGCATTGGCATGCACACACACACACACACACACACACACACGATTAATTTTTAAAAAATTAAAAAGCCATAGACACAACAAATACATGTTTCTGTACAAGATCTTTCCTGTGTTAAAAGCCTGGTACAGAAAAGGCAGGTGAAATGAAAAGGCCAGTTTTGTAATCTTTAGTGAATGTCTGCAAGTCTGTTCACGCCAGCCTTGGTTAATAGAGGATACCCTAGTCAGATTACTGTAGAGAATCCCCAACATTGAAGTGTTTCGACTTCTCATATAGTCAGGTAGTTCCACACACTGCTGATCTGGCACCTGCAGGAGTCTGCAGGCCCAGGCTGGATCACCACCCTCGCCTGTCCTGAGTTATGTAATTACAGACCTTATCAAATATGTCCCAGCTTGTAGATGGGAGACACATAACAGCAGAGTCTTTCTGCATGGGATAAATGCCTCAGGGCCTTTCCCTGGTGACAGTAGGGAAACAAAAGAGAGTTTAACACCTGAAAGTTTGCAGAGCTCGAGCATGCAGCTCACTCAGGGAACATTTGGGAATTGTTCCAGGTACCATGGAAATCCAGATTCCTGAAGCTCTTGCTCGTGAGATGATTGTAGTTCAGTAGGAGTCTTTTCTGGTCTGCAAAGAACTGTTGACTTGCATGTGTACAGTTAGATTGTGGCTGTGTGTTTTGTCTTTGAATAGAGACTGTCGACAATTTGAGATAGGTCTCTTTGTCATAGCTGTTCACAGAACAAATGAACTTACTTGGGAGATTTGATGGTTGGAGCACAGAGCTTCTCCGTTTGTCAGTGCAGTATTCACACTGCTGTGAGCTCTAAGTATGGTGACATCCAGAGGTCCAGAATTCGGGTGGAGAACTTGAGTAAAAGGCAAGTAACAGTTGTGTGAGACTGAGATTGCTCACCCACTACTATCACCACTTCAGTGTCTCAAGTGAAGACAAGCTGTAAGCAGCGTTCAATGGGATATCCTATTTTCTTTGAGGGTTTTGAGATAGAGTCTCACTATGTAGCCCTAGCTGGCCTGGAATTCATTTTATAGACGACGTTGTCTCAAATTGTATGCACTGTGTCCAATAGTGTGATATGTTCTTGTTCTGCTTTATCTCAGCTTCACTAATACTTGACCAGTGGTCACTGAAACTCAGCTGTGTGTCACTTGACTCTTAGTCCCTTAGCTTTGGGCCCCATGTTCCTGCTTCAAAAACCTTTCTTTGTTCAGAGAGAAACAGGAAAATGCAGCCTGCCCTATTTTAGTATAGGATTAAAATACATGAGAAGGACCTCATGGGGCCCAACTGGCTGAGTTTTCAATCCAAATAGAGGAGAAGAATGTTTGCTATCTCTTTGAAAAATAAAGGCACTCTGCTCTTTTGCTACATGAAGGAAGCTGCTGCTAAGAGTTTGTATATAGACTCCGGCAACTTAAACTAGCCTTGACTATCCTCGTAGGAAATCAGGGTCTTGCCTCATCTGTTATTTATTTAGTGTGTGTGTATGCATGCACATGCATGTGCACTACCATGTGGTTTCCAGGCCATCAGGCTTGTTGGAAAGCATCTTTACTAGCTGAGCCATTTTGCTAACCCAGATTTGCCTTATCAAATATCATTGTAATAAATATTATATTTCAAAAGCTCTAGAATACTGCTAGTTCTTTATGATTGCTCCATCATTGGAATTACTAGTTCATTCCAAGTCTGAGGGAATCCAGGTTTGTAATCCATACCTGTAATCCTAATATTCAGGAGGCTGCGGCAGGAGAATCATCACAAGCTCAAGACAAGCTTGGGCTATATAGTGAGACCCTGTCTTTGTGGGAGCAAGATAACCTGGAGCTGGTGAGTTTCTTTAATAGAGACCCAGATGTAGCCCCAGGAATCTTCCTTATTCCTCTCATGCCCTTTAACTTAGTTCTTTGTTATTTACAGTGCTTAGCAAATGTGAACAATGGGATTTTACTAGACTCTACTTTTTACTCTATTTGTTTTTATTACTTTCTCTTATTTTATTTTGAGACGGGAGCTGACTAGCCTGATACTTGAGCTGTTAGACTATGCTAGACTCTACTTTAAAATAGACTTTCTTGTTGTGAAGACAAAATAACTCATTTAGATAGAATTTAAAAATTATTATTTAAAAGTTTTTAAATTATTTTATTATATGTGTATGGATATTTTGCCTACATGTATGTCATTGGGCCATGTGCATGCAGTGCCCTCGAACGTCATAAGAGAGTGTCAAATTCCTGGACCTGGAATTATGGATCTTAGGAGCCTCTATGTGGGTATGGGGTTGAATCGCAATCCTCTGGAAGAACAGTTAGGGCTTTTAACTTCTGAGCTGTTACTTTAGCCACTCAAAATTATTTTAAACCAAAAACAAGGGTCCATAGACAGGTTAACATTTAAAGGCCCGGGGTGGTCGCACGCACCTTTAATCCCAGCACTCAGGAAGCAGAGCCAGGCAACTCTCTCTGTGATCTAGACTAGCCTAGTCTCCAGAATGAGTTCCAAGACAACTAGGGCTAGATAGACTCTGTCTCAAAAAAAAAAAAATCAGACCAGACCATAACCCTTAAAGCTCCGTATATCCCTGCCATGAGTGCCAGACAAGTGGTCAAGTCAGTCTGTGGCAGCCTTGCATTTATCATTACTGCTGTGACGTCTGCAGTCATTACTGGGGCAGCTACTAAAGCACACAGCTTCATTCATCTAGTTACCTGCCTGACAGCCCCCTGAGTTAAGAGAACTGGTAACTTCCAGAGCTAGTGCACGCCGCTGCTGTAACTGTAACTGGCAGCCGATACAGCCGATACAGGCTGGGGTGCGGTGGAGGAGCGGTTCCCTTTTTCTGCCTTGACTAAGTGGCATTGTAATTGAAAAGAGACCTGAAAGTAGTGTTTTGTGAGATTGAACTGCACCTGCAGATAGCTAGGTGATCCCTGCAGCTAAGCACTAATGTCGCAGAATATGCATTTTTTTTTTACTCTGCCCTTCAGTTCATGTGACACCGGCTATTGGTTTCATATGAGAGATGAGGTGACTCCCCTGTGTGGCAATGATGTAGACACGAAGAGCTTTGCTCAGTCTCTCCCAAGCCCAGCTGGTAAACATGAGGCTGCAGGGAGATGCCGGCGGAGTTCAGCTTTCCCACCTCTCTTCTGAACTTGGATAGGTCTTTCTGGGTTTAGCCCTTTTCTTTGCCTCTGTTTCTTGGAAAAGCTCTAGTGATATAATTGACTGCTAACTGTGGCCTTGGTTCTCTTCTAGTATTTCCTACTGCCCTGATTTAGTCCACACCAACCAGCATGCCTAGGAGTCCAATAGCTTTCTGCTTTTCCCTTTGATTGCTTTGGGCTTGAACTGCTGTTTCCTTTGCTGTACTTTCACTTCATGAAATCCCACCTTGCTTTAGTCACGTTGGTGTCTGTGTGGTTTTCACGGCACTGGTTAGAATGTTTCTACAGTTGTCGTGTTTTATATAAATACTTGTGCTTTAGGTTTCATTTGAAAATACAAAACTTAGAGCAAAGTCAGTGGAAGACAGAGGAAGAACATCTGTGGATGCTGGCTTTGCCTTGTTCTAAGACACAGGATGCAGTTTAGATAGTGATGTAGCTGGATTCAAAGAAGTTTTACTCTCAAGCAGCTGCCATCTGAATGCATATTGCTCTTCCTGGAATTCTGCCATCTTGCTCCGTGATGTCGTTGTTAGTTTGCTTAGTGCTCAGAAATATGATGTTTAGAGCTGGAAAGATGGCTTTCCTGTTAAGAGCACCGACGGACTGCTCTTCCAGAAGATTTGGATTCAGTTCCCAGCATCTACACAGCAACTAATAACTGTGACTCCAGTTCAGGGGATCTAGCATCCTCTTCTGAACTCCATGAGCACTGCACATACATGGCGCACGTTACCTTCGTGCAAGAAAGACACCTATAAACATAAAATAAAAATAGATCTTTAAAAAATTTCAAAATAAATTTTAAAAAAATGCTCATAGCTTTTCTCTGGACTTTCTTTGCAAGAATAATGTGATATCGATCAATCTGAAGACAATATGTGGTGATCAGAATTTGATGTCTGGTACAGAGGAGTTGTTGAACATGTGGAATATTAGAGTTTTGAAAAATAATGGTTTAAGTTATTGAAAATACCTCTAAATTAAGCTGCAGTCACTTGTTTCTTGCTTCCACTCGCCCGTGTAGGTGCGTGCTATTATGATGCCAATCAGTCTATGTATGTCTTTGGAGGCTGTACCCAGAGCAGTTGCAATGCTGCCTTCAATGACCTCTGGAGGCTCGACCTAAATAGCAAAGAGTGGATTCGACCATTGGCTTCAGGTAAGTGATGGACTGCTGCTTTCTGCCTTCTCACAGAAGCCTTCTTGGCATGGACTCAAGCATATGTTACTGGTGTCTTAGGTTCCTTATTAAATCTTCTGTGTAAATACCCAGGGTCATATGCTCATCTAAGTCTTTGCATTGACAATAAAGTTGTGGCTGCGTTTAGTGAAGTATATCTTTAATCCCAGCACTTGGGAGGCAGAGGCAAATGGTTCTCTGTGAGTGTTAGGCCAGCCTGATCTACATAGAGAGTTCTAGGACAACCAGAACTACATAAAGAGACCCTGTCTCAAAATTAAAAAAATAAAAATACTATTGGTACCTGTCCAGAATCACTGTGCCAGTGTGTGAATCCATTGGTGTGGTTTTCTCAGGTACCTGCACAGGTGTGATTTGTGTTTGGAATGAGTCGAAGAACAGAAAGCGACGTGAGAACTGTAGTTGACTGACAGGAGCTATTGTCCCAGGGCTGAGGTCTTTGAATAACACTTGTTCTTGCCAGCTCAGATATTCGGGAGTGTATGGGACATGCCTCTGCTGGTTAGTCAGGAGTGTGGGAAGATTCCATAGGAGTTGCATTCCTTCCCCGTCCCAGGATGGCAGAATTACGCTGAAAAACAGATTCCTTTTCTCCTTTTGATTTAATCTTTCCTTTGAAAAAGACAGTTATTTTTGTACTCATGAGATTCCCATCAGTTTGAAGTGTCAGTCATAAGATTGGAGCTGCTGGTGCCGTGGAGAAATTGAGCCTCCCTCCCCCCGGGAGGGTGTAAAATGCTCTGCTAGATCCATTGGCAGGCTTTCCCCTAACACTCTTCATTTGGCTCTTCAAGGTTGGAACTCAGTCTCAACACCAAGGAGACTTGGGTTTTTGTTTTTTTTTGGGGGGGGGCTCTTTCCATTTACTTCATCCATGCCATACTGGTTGGGGTCAGCTGGATCTTTTAGAAAGGGCCCTGGTGAGGAGGCAGGAGCTTCATTTCTGGCATGATCTCAGTCCTCGGTGACTGTGAGTTACGGCACCTCTCAAAGGTGTGGACTGGGCAATCCTGTCTTAAAGGCTGGGGAAGCCAGTTCACGTTCCCTGTGTTTACAGAACCACTGCTGTGAAGTTGTGCCCAGAGGCTGAGATCTGTTCCCTGCAGTGAAACAATAGAGCAGGAGCATGTAGACAGGGTCACTGGAGTACTTGGAGAGGGAGAGGGTGGGGTTTGTGCAGCTCTATATTAAAATATTGAAAATATGGCTAAATTTCCTCTTACAGACAATTTGAAGGCTAGTACTGTTTCAGGGCTCAGGATTTTATGTTTGGGAAGGTCTCCTTTTCTAGTTCCCTTGTTTCCTATTCATTTAGTGAAGTATTATTCGATAAAAATCTGGAGTCACAAATTCTTCTTTTTTAAAAAACATATACTTTGGGGCTGGAGAGATGGCTCAGTGGTTAGGAGCACTCACTGCTCTTCCAGAGGTCCTGAGTTCAATTCCCAGCAACCACATGGTGGCTCACAGCCATCTATGATGGGACCTGGCGCCCCCTTCTGGCTTGCGGGCACACATGGAAGAAATCCTGTACACATAATAAATAAATAAATATCTTTTAAAAAAAAGTCTTGTAAAAAATTAAAAAAAAATATACTTTATGTGTTTTGCCCGCATGCATGTAGGTGAACCATGTGCGTGCTTGTTGGATCCACTGGAACTGAACTTACAAATGATTGTCAGTCATCACGTGAACACTGGGAATTGAACTCTAGTCCTCTGCAAAAGCAACAGATGTTCTTAGCTGCTGAGCCATCTCTCCAGCCCTTGAGTCACAGATTCTAAAATGCAGAGCATTGAGGCTCAGTGGTTGAGAGCATTTGCTGCTCTTTCAAAGGAGCCACGTTCTTTTCCCAGCACCCTCATGGTAACCATCACAACAGTCTATAAGTCCAATTCCAGAGGATCCAACACCTTGCACAGGCATCAGACACATACATGCAGATAAAATACACATGTACATCAAATAAATAGACAAAAATTTAAAATGCAGAACATCTTTTCAGCTTCAGTACCCTGTGGCCACTGTACCTGGCATAGGGCCCAGCTGCCACTTCAGAGCAGGCTCGATTGTCCCAGTCCCTTCCCTCCCCTTCCTTTCCTCCTTCTTCCTAGAACTTGTCCAAAACCCCAGGTGTTGGTAGGAACCCACTTATTTTTATGTCATTTGCATTGGTGCTTTGTCTGCATAGACATCTGTGTGAGGGTGCCAGATTCTGGGAACTGGAGTTTTAGACAGGTGTGAGCTGCCATATGGGTGCTGGGAATCATACGCAGTCTTCTGGAAGAGCTGCCAGTGCTCTGAACCATTGAGCCGTCTCTCCAGCCCTTAATATCATTGTTTTATTTTTTGTTTTGTTTTGTTTGTGAATGAGAAAACTCGATTCTACCTTTAAATGCATGGATTGCCAAAATGTCATTTGTGTTTTCTTCTATGCTGAAAGTCTTTCATCCTCTGACTTTGAGTCATTTAGTCCAATTCAGGTGCTGCTATAATTCTTTCTTATTTGAGTTAAGATCCCATAGTGTCACTGAAAATAAGCAGAATTGTCTGTGTTTAAGTCCACACCATCATTGCTCCCGGGTTCCCTGTGCAGTAACACTCTCAGGTCATCCAGCACTGCCTCTGCTTACTCTCTGGAGTCTATGGAACCTCCTAACACTATGGTTTATTGTAATGAGTCTCTCTGTCCCTCCAGCCAGTTCCCAGATAATGACATAGAGACTTCTTATTAATTATGAAAGGTTGGCCTATAGCTTAGCCTTGTTCCTAACTAGATATTATAACTTAAATTAACCCACATATATTAATCTCCATTCTATCACATGGTGTTACCTCTCTTCCCTCTTGCACCTCCTTTTTCCTCTCTGTGTTACATGTGCACCTCAATTCTCCTTTTTCCTTTCCCTGAAAATCCCACCTGTATCCACTGCCTAGCTATTGGCGTTCAGCTTTTTATTACATCAAACACAGCAATATATCTTCACAACAGTTCATGGCACAATGAACTTCATTTTGTATGTTGTCTTATATATATCTCCAGTGCCACCTAAGATGTTAACCCTTCTTTTATGCACTGAACTGTAGAAAGCTGATTCTGACTGTGGAGATACAGGTCTTATCCTGAGTCACTTTTAACTTATGCTTTCTCCGTGTGGTGGTTTGAATGAGACTAGTGTATTTGAAGACTTGATGGTTCATAGTCTGTTGTAGAAAGGGCTGCTTGCTCTTGCTAGGCAGATGAGCACTATGATTGGCCGTGTATTGACTTATAGGTGTCAGCTGAATTCTAGAGGAGACTGCTTCATCCTTCAGAGCTCAAAGCCAGCTGTCTCCCAGCCCTTGGGAAATGAGGTTGAACTACCCTTCCGGGAGTCTACTTTTCAAATGAATAGTGCCCTCGGACTTCCTCTCTCCCAATCTCTGCCAGTACCTTTATATTGAGTGTGTCTTTTACTCATTATTGCTATTTTAATAAGCTTTCTGAATCTTAAAATGCTATTTGAGGGGCTGGAGAGATGGCTCAGCAGTTAAGAGCACTGAGTGCTCTTCTAGAAGTCCTGAGTTCAATTCCCAACAACCACATGGTGGTTCACAACCGTCTGTAATGAGATCTGGTGCCCTCTTCTGGCCTACATGCATAGTAAATAAATGATTCTTTAAAAAAATGTTATTTGAGTGGCATATGTCTGTGACATGATGACTGCATTTTATGTGAGGAATTATTGCTTTAGAAAGAACCACACTTGGAGCTGGCAAGTTGGTGCAATGGTTAAGAGCGTTGGCTGCTGCTCTTCCAGAGGACCTGGGTTCAGTTCCCAGCACCCACATAGCAGCTCACAACTATTTGTAACTAGTTCCAAGGGATTTGTCTCCCTCCCACAGACATGCATGAAGGCAAAAAACTAATGCACATAAAATAAAAATAAATTTAAAAAAATAATAGCGGGTGGTCATGGTTCACACCTTTAATCCCAGCACTTGAGAGGCAGAGGCAAGGGATCTCTGTGAGTTCAAGGCCAGCCTGATCTACAGAGTGAGTTTCAGGATAGACTCTAGAGCTACACAGAGAAATCCTGTCTCAAAACCAAAATAAATAAATAAGCAAGCAAGCAAATTAAAAACAATAAATGCCTCACTAAAAATCCACACTTGTGTGTGTGTGCGCGCGCGCGTGTGAATGCGCACTTGCATACATTCATGCACTGTGGCACATGTATGCAGCTTAGAGGCCAGTGTTTCTAAGTTGGTTCTCCTTTCTCCATGGAGGTTCCAGGGATTGAACCCAGGTCATCCCAGTGAATTATCTTGCTAGTCCCTAAGAATGACTTCTTAAAAACCCACACCAAAGAGTTTTAATTCTACTTAGAGTTATTTATGAGTTAAGTAGCCTATGGAATCATGTAACAACAGTGGGAAAATGTTTACAGACTGCTCTACCAGTTTTGACGTTGGCTGTTTTGTTTTGTTTGAGGCAGGATCTCACTATATAGACTTGGCTGGCCTGGAACTCACAGAGATCCACCTACAACTTTCTCAGGAGTGCTGGGATTAAAGGTGTGAACCATGACCACCGCTATTATTTTTTTTAAATAATAGCCTGGCTTCTTTTCTTTTCTTTTTTTCTCCTGAGATTTATTGGCCTGGTGAGGAGTGGTGCTGGAGAGATGGCTCAACAGTTAAAGTACTAGCTTCTCTTGCAGAGGATCCAAGTTTGATTGTCAACACCCTTTTGGCATCTCACAACTGTCCGTAACTCCAGTTCCAGGGGACCTTCTTCTGTTCTCTGGGCACCAGCACTCATATCTGCACAAATATACACATGTGGGTAAAACACTCGCACTAAAAGTGAAGTGCTTTAAAGGGTGTCTCAAAGGAGGCAGGTGAGGAAAGACACATGGGTGGGAAGGGACACAGAGGGTCCGTGTGTCCCTGGAGCCTCTCCACCTACTCAACC